GAGAACCCCGGGGGGGAGGGCTCGATCGTCCTCAAAAAGGTCAGGGGGGGGGAGGGGGCCCCGCTCTCTCTCTCTCTCTCTCTCTCTCTCTCTCTCTCTCTCTCTCGCTCTCTCTCTCTCTCTCTCTCTCCTCTCTCTCTCTCTCTCCCTCCCCCCCCCCCCCCCCTCTAACAGCTCTCTCTTCTGCGCAGGTCAAGGCGCAGGAGTGGGGCTTTGGCTGGAACGCGGCGACGGGCGAGTACGAGGACTTGCTCGAGTCGGGCGTGATCGACCCTGCCACAGTCACGCAGCAGGCCGCCCCAGAGGTAGCCGAGATCTGCCTCAGAGGTGCGAGAGATGGCGGAAAGGTGGCAGAGTTGTGGGCGGCGTGATCGACCCCCCGTGGCGCGGCGATGAGCCCAGTTCCCCTTCTCACCACCCAGTGGCCTTCTCCCAGGCGGTGCTCAACTCTTGCTCCATCGCTGCGTCCGTGCTCACGACGCAGTGCCTCATCACCGAGATCAAGGAGGAGGGGCCGCCGATGGCCCCCGGCATGGACGACGGCATGGGGATGATGTGAGGCGCGGGCGGCGCGGCGCGACCCCTCCCTACCCTGTCCACTCCGCCCCCCCTCCCCCCTCCCCCCTCCGCCCCTCCCTCCCGGGCGGCGGGCGGCGGGCGGCGGGCTCGCGGCACCGACGCCCCAGTGTGTGCGGCGTGGCGCGCGGCGGGCTGCTTGGCGGTGGCAGAGCGCGCGTACACACAACGCGTGCGATCTCTGTACGGCACACGTGTCACGCCGGCCGGCGCTCGCAAAGCTCTCTTCTCTTCTTAGTTCCGTGGGCTTGGGGGGTGATTCTGGCGGGAGGGGTCGACTAGCGACTGCGGCCGTCTAGTCACATAGCAGCGAGCGCGAGTAAATAAAAGGAAAAAGAATCAGGGACCGGAGGTGGGGGGAGGCGTTCGCGACCGATGGCGGCGGAGCGGGAGGGCGGATCCCACCGCATCCGGGCTGGGGGCCTGGGGCGCGAGAGAGAGCCCGAGAAGCGGGAAGGCCGAGACCGGTAGGGCCGGCCCCGCACTGGCCGCACCCGGCGCCGGCCTGCGCGAGCCCGTACGCCCCATCCCTTGCCCTACTCCTCCATCTCTGCCGCATAGAGGTCCCCCATCTCGCAGCTCGCGTCCGAGCCACCAAAGACGTACGCAGAGCCACCCAGCGCCGCCATGGCGTGGGCGAACCGTCGCGAAGGCGGGTCGATGCTGCGCAGGCGCGCAAAGCCACAGGTGGCAGCTCCCTCGCCCCCGCCCTCGGCCGCACCTCCCGCCTGTGCCTCGCCCCCGCCCCGCCTCTGCAGCTGCCAGGAGTCGCTGAGCCACGAAGCAGATGCGCCGTTGGTCGTGATACCCCCAAAGAAGAGGACCGTCTCGCTCGCAGCGGCCGTCGCCCTCGCAGCCGCCACCGGCAGTGGCGCAGCGGCGTGGCCAAAGCGCGCGCCGCCCGCTTGCGAGACGGAGGACCAGCACAGACGTGAGAGGCCGAGGATGAAGAGGTCGCCGAGCGGCTTCGATCCGTCGCCGCCACGCCCGCCGTGAATCACGAGCGCGTCGCCGCCACCACCACCAGGCAGCACAGTCGCGGCGTGCATCCCTCGAGGGCTTGGCGCGGCGCCCGTGCAGCGTGGGATCTCCCAGCGGCAGTCAAACTCTCCAGCGCCGCTGCGGTGCGGAGGGGCGGAGGGAGTGTGTGGGGGCAGGCGAACAGGGCTAGAGGACTGGGGCATTGGCGCGCGGATCAGGCAGGGCAGGGAATGGCTGTCGAGGGATGGGCCGCATGTTGCTGCCCACCTGCTCGTCAAGCTGAGGCGGAGCAGGTCGCCTCGCAAGCCGCTTTCGTCCGCGCCGCCAAAGAGCCAGCCGGCTCCATTGCCCCAGGAGAGGGAGTGCTCCGCCCGGCCGACAGGCGGCACCTTGCCTTCGCCCGATTCGCGGAGCAGCGTCCACCGGGCGCCGCCCGCCTCGCCGCAAGCCGCAGGGGAGAGTCGGAAGACTCCTTGTAGCAGCTCGTCCTGCGCGTCCTTGCCGCCGTAAACGAGAACCGACCCCGCATCGGCCTCACTGCCGTTGTCACCGTCGACAGGGTGGGCGGCGGCGGTCGCCGCATGGCCGTGCCGCGGCGCAAAGGCGTCTCCACTCGGCACCATCCTGAGGAGAAGGGCCGGGGTATAGGCCGCTTGGCCGGTGCGCGGCGAACGGAATCTCCTCTTCTGGGGACGCCGGCTCGCCCGAATCTCATTCTCACACTCGACGTAATCTCGGCGGAATCTCATCTGATACTCGCGCCTAGCCCATGCGCCAGCTGAGTGCTGCAGACCGGGTCTCCTCCGTCGAGCAGCCGCAGGAGGCGGTGGTCTTCTTCCATGGCTTCAACTGCCCCGTGAGCGACGGGCTCAAGCTCATCGGTCAGTTGTGGACGCTCGGAGACTTCCCGAGCCACCTAAAGCCCTGGGTCTTCGGTTGGCCGGGAGGGCGCGACGTCGGCTACTTCACCGCCGTCCGTCGCGCCAACGACCCTGCCGTCGCGGAGGACTTTGCTGCCTTCATAGCCTCGCTGGTGGCGGCTGGATGCCGCCGCCTGCATGTAATCGCGCACAGCATGGGGGCGCGCCTTTTCCTTTCCTCGCTGCCCGCGCTGGAGAAGGTGCTCAAGCCAGCGCCGAGCGCCGCGGAGGGTAGCGCCGAAGAAACCCGTCGCCGGCGTGTGGCGAAGCTCAAGTCGACCGCTGCGGCGGGGCCGAGCGGTGCGGCTGATGCAGGCAAGCTGAGGCTGGCAACAGCGGTGCTCATGAACCCGGATTCGCCCCTCGACAAGTTCATCGACAACGACTTTGCGCGTCTTCGGCATCTGTGCGAGCACATCACCCTCTACGCGGACCAAGCCGACGGTGCCCTCGCTTGGTCCGAGATTGTCAACCGGCAGCGCTCGCTCGGGAAGCAACCTTTCGCGCTCAACCACCGCGTTAACACCGACACCACTTGGTCGGGCATGGTCAGGCACTTGGGCGCGAGGCTCGAGTCGGAGATGCGGGAGGGGATGGCGACCATCTCGCGCACGATCACCGGCCCGTCCAGTGCGACATCTCCGGGGGCCAACTCGGGTCCGCGAAGGGAGACGCCGCAGATGGGGAGGCCAGCCGTCCGCCGAGCGACGGCTGCCGCGGCGGCGGGTGCGGCTGCGCGTTGGGGGCGGCGGGGCGCCGCTGCCGAGGACGAGGTGGAGCTGAATCCCCTCGACATGGACGTGATTGACGTGTCGTGGATGGACAACAACGTCCACTCTCTGAGGCACAACTTTTGGAACATCAACCGGTGCGCAGCGGATGGGCTTTTGCCACGCGCCGAGCAAGCCTTTTGCTACGCACCGAGCCACGCGCACGCACTTCTACAAAACGCTCGCCTCTCTCTCTCAAGCTGCTCCCGTCCCCACACTGTAGGTGGATGATTGATGACCTTCGCGATATCCTCTGCACAGAGCGGCGCGCGAGGCACCGTCCCGCGCGCATGACTCGCCGCTCGGGCAACGTGTGGTGCTTTCTGGCGGCGCCGAGCTACGTAGTAAACCCTTGACCAGAGAGAGAGGTGGAGTCAGGAGTCGTACAGTATCGAAGAATCGAACCCGAGTGGAGTCTGGAGAGTCAGAGCCGAGGCGGGCTGTGAATCCTTACGTCTAAAAATTACATTTGATAGCACTCGTTACCCATTTCACAGACACGCACAAGATACGAGAAACTTGAACGTTGACGCTCCTGCCCCCCCCCCCCGGGGGGGCACGAAAAAAATCGCGCTCTGCGCTTTGTGTGTCCCACAGAGAGCGCGCCCCGTCCTCTCACGTACCGCCCTCACTCGATGAAGGTGTCCTTCTCACTGCGCGGCCAAAAGGCGGGAAGCCCACGCCCGCGGTGCCACATATGGAAGACCTGCGAGGTTGGCGCGAAGGAGGACTGCATCTCGCACATCTTGATGAAGACGACGACCGAAATTACGTTCCACCGGCGGTGGGGAGGGAGGTCATGGTACCCACCGAGCAGCCCCGCCTGCTTGAAGGGTGCCCATTCCGCCTCCCTGTCGAGGCCCTCGGCGATGAGCACGTCGTCGAAGAATTCGAACATCAGGAGCACCACGAACCCGTAGATGGCGTGTGCCGACAGCCGCATCAGCAGCAGCCCCTTGATGCCGTACCCCTCGGGCTGCACTCGGCCGGCGATGTCGACGTCATGCGGCGTGAGGCCGAAGGCGAGAGCGGAGCGGGCGGCTTTCGAGGCTCGTACGAGGAAGGTGAGGACGGCGCCGGCCGACGCGAAGATCGTGAGAATGCAGGAGGCCTGCAGCACGTACCTGCTCAACATGGCGGGAGGCGTGACGAAGGCCGTGGGTAGCACGAGCGCAGCGGGGCGGCAGTACTCCCACGAGCGGTAGGCGAGTCCGAGGGCGAAGGAGAGGTAGAACTGGAAGAAGGCGACGAACATCAGGCCGCTCGCCGTGAGCACCAGCCACCACATCGGCACCGTCACCGGCCCGATTCGCAGCACATTCTCCCATCGCTCGAGGCAGCACTGGTCGAGCGAGAGCGCCGCCTCCTTGCCGCTCTGCGATGCGGGCAGCAGGATCGACCCGACGGGCGTTGTGAGCAGCGTCGATGCGCCCCGCTGGAGCGCCCAGCCCATCGCGCGGAGGGAAGGCAGAGGCACGCGCGGCGGCGGCTCTGCCGGCCGCACCCGGTCGCCCCTCGCCCTCTCTCCGCTCGCACCCTCCTGCATGTGCATCCTCAGCGTCTCTCCGCTGTCGTGCCCGATCGTGGCGGGCGTCCGGAAGGCGCAATCCATCCACGAGGCCGGCGCGCCTACTCCGGCGCAGGAGGTGTGAATGCCACAGAAGGGCTCCCTCTCCGGCAGGAAGTGGCGCCTCCAGCAGCCGCCCTCGACTCGCCCGGCAGAGGCAGAGAGCGCTCCTCGAGCCACTGCCGCAGCGACCTGCCTCGCGCGCAGGCGGCGTCCTCAAAGATGGCGGCGACGAAGGCGGAGAGCGCCACCGCGCGCATCTCGTCCACGTTCGTCGGCCGCCGCGCGAGCCTGTCCAGCGTCTGAGCCACCACGAGCACGTCCCGCCGGTCGTAGCAAGGCAGCCACGGCAGCCCGTGCCGCAGGCCGAGCGAGAGCTTGCCGGCAGCGGCGCGGATGCGGCGGCGGCGGCGCTCCTCGTTGCGCAGCTTTGCGGACGCGGCCGCCCCCTGCAGCCGCCGGCTGGCGCGGAACCCCTCCCAGATGGAGCGAGGGTCGTAGAACGAGCGCGAAGACTCGCCGTGCAGCTCGCTCGACGGCCGCGCAGACCTGCCGCCCTTGTCCGCCGCAAAGGAGCTGCCCGACGCGAACCGGCGGCCGCCCCTGTAGACGGGTGGCTGCGGCGGCGTCGCGCTGCCACCAGCAGCCTCCAGCTCTGCCGCCAGCCGAGCGTCGAGGGTCCTCTCGTCAGACGCAGCGGCGGCGGCTGCCGCCGCCACCGCCGCCACCGACGCCGGCGAGGGAAGGGGATGGCCGTGCGACGCTGGCTCCAGCGGTGCGGAGTGCGGCGGCGTGGGCGGCGTGTGTTGGCTGACTGCGGCGTGGAAGTGCTTGGCCTCGCTGTCTGCCGAGTCGCGGACGCCTCCGCAGAGTTGCTCGAGGCTCGCCTCGGGGCACGAGGGGGCGAGGTTGTGAGGTTGTGAGGTTGTGCGGCGTGAGGTGGCGAGGGACAGCGTGCGGGGGCCGTGATGTGCGGGGGCCGTGATGCGGCGAGGTGGTGGGGTGAGAGGCGGTCGGGCGAGGGTCGCCTCCTCGAGCCCCGCCTCCTCTGCGCCGTGCTCTTCCGCCACCAGAGACGGGCGGTGGGCGGTGCCCAAAGACGAGTCCCTGCACCGCAGCTCCGAGAGGGAGGTCTGCCCGCCGCCGAGGGAGGTGCCGGCTGTGAGCGTACTCCGCGCCGAAGTCCGGCCGTGGCGGCGTCCGTGTGCCGTCTCCTCGGCAGCAAGGAGCATGACCTGCCGCAGGGGGGAGGGTTACTGGTTGAGAGGGGTGGGCGTAGGGCTTGGGCAGAGGGCGTAGGGCTTGGGCAGAGGGCGGAGACAGGGGCGGGCTGGCGGCTAGGGCGCAGTCCAAGGCTGCGGCATGATTACCCCCCCCCCCCCGCCCGGGCCCTCCCTCACCCGCAGCACGCTCTGGCCCGACTCGCAGAGCCAGTACTCGTGGGACAGCTTTGGCGCCCACTGCGAGAGGGCGGCGGGGGCGCGGAGCACCCAGACCAGCGGCGCCTGAGGGCGGGTGCGAGTCATCACGAGGGTGGGCCGGGTCGGTTGGGCGTGCGGGGCGGCTGCACCACGACGAGCGGCGAGAGGAAGAAGAGGACGAGGAGGATCGAGTGGCAGGTCTGCAGCTTGCGGACCTCGCCCATCTCGCAGCCGGGCCAGAGGGGCGTCCAGGTGCCGAAGCGGTGGAGGAGGAGCTGCGACTGCGAGAGGCCCACCCCCGCGACCCGCACCGGCAGCCCTCGCTCCGCCACGGTCGCCGCCTCGAAGGTGCACCAGAGCCGGAACTGGTACGAGGACGCCTTGGAGGCGGTGCGCGCGCGCGGGAGCCAGATCACCTCGCTCGCGTGCTGCGTGACGGCAGCGAGGGTGGCGACAAAGGAGTCGTGGTCGTACTTGTTTTGCACCGCCGCGAAGCAGCACGCGTCGAGCCATATTCCCTCCAGCCCCGCCGCGTGCGCCACGTCGGCGATCGAGGCGAGCGCCGCGGCGTCCATCGTTGTCCCGCTGTCGTCGCCTTCGAGCCGCTCCTGCCGGTACGAGACCAGGGCAAAGTAGGCCCTCGCCGGGGGCGCCGACTCGATGAGCGGCGGCTCCCGCCTCCCTGGCGGCCGAGCTCCGCGGAAGAGCTCCGCCAGCACGGCCTCGGCTCCACGCAGCGCGATGGCCCTTTTCAGCCGCGAGACGACGATGATGCGCACGCGAGAGGATGCAATGGCTCGCCGCGCCAGCGAGAGGCGCAGCCGCTTTGGCGGCGGCGCGGCCGGCGCATCCGCCGCAACGCGCACGGTGTGGAGAGGATTCGCAGGCTCGCGCTGCGATCGGCGCACGAGCAGCACCAGGCAGAGAAGGACGGTCTGCAGCCAGCCGGTGCCGAAGACAGCGAGCCAGGTCGGCCATACCAGCGCGGGCACGATGCTAATTGACCACACGGCGAGCTGAGCGAGCCACCAGCGGGTGGGACTCGTTGCGAGCGGCGAGATCCCGGCGGCGGTCGTCACACGAAGCTGCTCCATTGTGCCGCTCAAAGCTCCTGGCAAACCAGGCTGGAGACTTGCAGGCTTCAGCTGGTTTAGCATTTTTCGTTTTTTTCTTTCTTCTTTCCACCGACGCATCTGGAGCCTGGAGCATGAAGCCACATCCATGGAGTGGCGCCGGACAGGGCGGCGAGAGAGATTCGTTTTGTTAGGCGGAAATGGAGGTTGCCCTGCGCCCCGGCCGTTCCTGGTGTGTTGGCAAGTCCACGCCTTTGTCCGTTCTTTATTTTCTTTCTTTTCGCGGCCATGCTCGAGCACAACATCGTCACGCACTGGCTAGTCAAGGTCTTCTCGGGCACCGCCAACTCGGCCTGGCACGGCACCGTCCTCGTCACCTTCATCTTTGCGCTCAGCGGCAGCAATGCCGCGGCTGGCGTCGCCGAGGCCGCTCAGAACACCGCCGCTCTCGCCGCCTCGCTGCCCCTCGGCACCCTCGCCGATCGCTGGAGCGCAGCCCGCACCGTCTGCGGCGGCGGTGCGTTCGTGCTCGTCGCCACGGCCACCACCTCTCTCGCGGCTGTCGGTGGCGCCGCGGCTGTGTCTGAGTCGGGACGCGGCCGCGCATACGCCCTCCTCGTCGTCGCGATGGCGCTGTGGGGTGTGGTCAACGCGACGATCGACGGCCCGGCACAGGCCCTGTACGCAAGCTCGATGCGCCGCGCCGACCGGACCCGACTGATGACTCGCGCCTTCCAGCTGTACACGATGGCGGCGGTGGCGGGCCGCGGCCTCTCGGCGGCGGTATTTTGGGCGCACGGGGACGCGTGGTCGCTCCCAGCGCTGCGCGACGCGATCCTGGTCGGGGTGGGGTGCGAGGTCCTGGCGGGAGGAGCACAGCTGCCGCTGCCGGAGGCCTGCAGGATGATGCTACTGGCACACAGGATACGAGATTGTGTCATGTAGGAGCAATGTGCTGCTACCGGAGGCCTGCCTGCCGGAGCAGCGGCCCCGCGGAGCCGCCCAGCGGACCACCAGAGCCGGCCAGCCGCGGAGGCAGCGCGGCGGTGCTGAAGCGAGGGGACATGGGGGCAGCGGGCGGGCCGCTTGCGCGTCGCGCGTGGCTTGCAGCCGCGGTGCTGGTCTGCTCGAACGTGCTGCAGGCGTGGGGGGCGGGGATGACGGTTCGCTTCTTCCCTCTCTATCTTGCGAGGGAGTGCCGCCTGTCGCCCGTGCGAGTGCAGGCCGTCTACCTTGCCCTCCCCGTCGCAATCTCCCTCTCCTCCTCCTTCGGGGAACGGCTCGCCGCGAGCGCCGGTCCAACCTCTCCTGCGGGACGTGTCGTGGACGTGTCGTGGACGTGTCGTGGACGTGTCGTGGACGTGCCATAGGCCGCGTCCCAACCATGGCCGCCCTCAAGGCGGCGGGCTGCCTCCTGCTGGTCGGCATGTACTTCGCGGCCGACTCCTCGTCGCCTCTCGCCGACTCGCGCCAGCCTCTCGCCGCCGCTCCCTCGCTCGCCGCCGAGCCTTCCTCAGCTGCAGCCGGCGCCTCGCCCGCGGGCAGTCCGAGCGACCCGCCTCCCCTCCGGCTCTCGCTCACGGTGGCTCTCTTCCTGCTGCGCGGCGGGCTGGCCAACAGCACCACCCCCCTCTCGTCCGCTCTGCTCATGGACTCGGTGGCGCCTGGGCAGAGCTCGCTCGGCGGGCGACACGTGGCCGCGACAGGTCCAGGACACGTCCGTGACGTGTCCCGTAGGCAGCGGGCTCGCTGGGCGGGCGTCGGCGGCAACTTGGTCGAGACTGTGCGCCCGGACAGCGCCCGGCCTTTGGTGCGTCCTTGACACACCGCCCACTCGCCCACCCGCGTAGGTCAAGGTTTCGTGGGCCGCCTCGGCCGCGGCAGGCGGCGTGCTGGCCGACCGGTACGGCTACCGCGCCGCCTTCCTGCTGACGGCTGCGTTGCAGGGGCTCGGCACGGCGCTCCTGCTGCTGCCCGTCTTCCCGCGAGCAGAGTACGCGGGTGCCGCGGCGCGGGATGTTGGGCCCTCGGGTTTGGTGGACCCGCTGCTGCCACGCGCTGGCAACGAGTCACAGCCGGAAACAACACGGTCAAACACTGTATCGGAAGTGAGAGGCAGAAGATCCCCAGTCGGCTCACGGTTGTGCGAGGGGACTGATTGAATTCTTTCGTTGACTTTGTTTATTGTCTCTCACAGGACTGAGTCTGAGTACTGAGAGAGGTGAGAGAGAGCCTCATAGAGCTGTCCGTAGAACTAGAAGAAGGTCCCCGAGAGATATTGGTTATTCCGCGCCATGCGCGCGAGATACGGCTTTAGGCTTTACACACCGCTCCGCTATACGAGTCTGTATATACCGTATTCGCTTTGCCCCGGCGATAAGGCGAATATCAGAAGTTGCAGTCGATATCAATCCCCACGGTCTGTACTGGCTCTACCTCGTGCGCCCAACTCGCCAAAATTACCCTCACCTCCACTGGTGCGCCGCGGGTGGCTCCCACTGCGAAGCACCCGTCGCCTCGTCATAGTAGTACGTCGCTCCGCTGGCCTCGTCGACTAGCGCCACCCACCCGCCCGGAGGCCCTCCGCCGCCCAGCCGCTCCTCCGCCTCAACGCGGCACCCGAAGATGGCGGCCTCGGGGTCATGCCAGTCGAGGGAGACCTGGTCTCCGTCGGCGAGAGGCGCGCTCACGCCTCGCTCCAGCGCGTACCACGGCCCTCCGCTCTCTCGCCAGTAGGTTGGCCCTCTACCGTGCGACGTGACGTACGCCGCCCCGTCCTCCGCCACGCCAACCACGCACTGCATCCGCGACACCGTCAGCCGCTGCCGCTCCATGTTCCACCGGCTCAGCACGTGCTCCTCGCCGCGCCGCAGCGCGTACGGAGGGGCGGAGTAGTCTCTGGCCGGGTCGCACGCCAGCGCATTCGAGAAGCCGCGCACGCCTGCAGGAGGTGCCAAGAAGAGGTCCCGAGAAGGACTGCTGTGTGCTTGGAGAGGCTATCCCTCGGCACCTCGTAGCGGGTGGAGCACCCAGACCTGCCCCTCGCCGCTGTAGGCCTGCCCGCCGCCGCCGGCCTGCAGCGATCCGGTGTAGTAGTCGTCTTGCCGCTGGTTGAAGCTACTGGAGGCGTCGTAGTAGTCTTGCGGCGAGTCGTACAGGTACTGCCGCTGTTCGCCGCCGCCGGACTGGCCGCCGTACTCGCCGAAGGCCTCCTCGTAGCCTTGCTGCATTCGCGTGTGCGCTCGTGCCGGTCGCCACATGCCGCCGCTGATCAGCAGCGGTGTCGTGAGCGAAGCTGCAGAGCAGAGGGCGTGAAACAGCATGCGTCCTCGCAGAATACTCGCACCTCTCGGCCGAGTCAACGAGATGCGCTGGGCTGCTGGTGAGCTGTTTTCACAGCAGGCTGGAAGTACAGTGTATTTCGGGCATTAAGAAAACAGGATCCGGCGCCACGCCGCCGTTTCTAAGCCTTTCCACCCTCCTCCCCCAGCCCGCGCCGTGGTTTCTTAGCCCCGGCCGGCACTCAGGTCAGCCGGGCCGAGCGTGTTTCCGTGAGAAAATAAAATATTAAGTAAGCTGCGGGATCACCACCTTGTAGCCGGCGGGGGCGCCCTCCAGCTTGATGAGCAGGTCGTCGTCCGTGCCGTCGGCTGTGAGCAGGGCGCCGGCGTGCTCGAAGTACTTGCGCTTGCCTCGCTCGCCCTGGAGCGCCTTCATGGAGGCCTTGTAGAACCAGTGGGCGAGGAGGATGCGGCGGTCCAAGGCCGTCAGCGTGTTCGACTCCCACTTCTTGAGGTTGTCCTCGTCGTCGAGCCACTCATCGAGCAGCTGCCCAAGGTAGACTTTGATATGCCGCGTCCCCGCGATCAATCGGCTGCACCTGGTCGGTCTCGTTGGGCGGCACCTTGTGGTCGTCGACGCCAACCGACTGTATCAACGGAGGACTTTGGTGAGTGTGTGTCGAGGGCGAGGTGTGCGGAGGCGGGGGCAGCCGAGGCGGAAGGGGAGGCGACGGAGGGGGCGGAGGCGTAGTATTGGGCTGCGGCTGCAGCCCGGCACTTGCCGTGGCGCGGGCCTGCAGGCCTGCGCGCCTGCGGCGTTTGCCAGCCGGCGCGCCTGCGGCGCGCCGTGGTTTCTTAGATTTTCGCGGAAATCGCTTCCAATTGCTCCCACATCCCACAAGACCAAGATCCAAGTCGGCTCCAAGTGCGGAGCGGTTATAGAGTCGTGCGCAAAAGCGCGAAGTCGAAGAGAAGACCGGTAGCAGCGAGTGCCTCACCCTCCAATCATGCCTCCATACCTCCAGTCCACCACAGCAGCAGCAGACCCACCACGCTGCACGCACACTCCCAGGGGGACTCGAACCCGAATCCTCACGAACACGGGCCGGGCAAGCTACGTCACTGCAAGTCCTCCCCGCCGCCGAGGTCATACCTCAGCCCCAGACCGCGCGTCTCCCTCTTGAGGGCCGCCTCCACCCGCCCCCGCAGGCCCGGGTGCGGAGCGAAGTCCTCCCTCCACCCGCCCAGCGCCTACCAGGTATGGAGAGAGACCACCTCAACACTCTCCCTGTGAGCTCATCGGAGGCCTCCCCTCCGCCCGCCCGCCCGCCCGCCTGCAGCTCCGCCTCGCGCAACGCGCCGAATGTCGCGTCCGACACGACGCCGTCGATCAGACGGCCGTCAGAGGCGTCGAGGCCGAGGAAGGCGGCAAGCCTCGCCGCCTCTCTGCCCGGCTCCCGCAGCAGCGCCTCGAGGTGCAGCCACAGCACCATCGGCCTCTCCGCGCCGTCGCCGACGCCGACGGCATCGCTGCCATTCTCCCGCCACCAGCTGCTGCCCGGGGCCTGCAGTAGCAGCGCCTCCATCCGAGTTGCGTGCCGCCCGCCCGCGGGCGGGTAGCGGAGCGCTGCGCCTCGCCAGCCGCGGTAAAAGTCGCAGAAGGAGCCCGTAGCGCCGAACGAGCCGCCGGCACGCCCGTCCAGCCAGGCGAGGGCGTGCGCATCGAAGGGCCACCCCCTCGCGCGAGGGTCCCACCTGGCAGAGTGAGTGGAAGACTCCCCTCCCTGGTGAGCGGTGGTGCGTGGCCATGTCCTCTCGGTGCTGGCAGAGGGGGCTGGCAGAGGGGGCTGTCCCACCCGCGCCGGTAGCAGGCGCTGCATGCGTCGAGCGGGTTGCGAGTCACGACGACGTACCTTGAGAACCAAACAACTAGCAATCAGTGAGCCATTCTTGGTTGGAACGGGGCTGCGCGTCACGACGACGCACCTGGCACCGGATCGCAGGACACTTCAGATGTGATTCGTCTCATCCTTCCACCGCTGCTCGCCCCGCCGCCTTGCCGCCGCCGGGGCCCCGTCGCGCCGGCGCGAGAGCAGGCAGCGGAGCGGGGCGCGGGAGGAGAGGAGGCGCGGCGGGGCAAGCGACTCGAACTCGGACAGAGTGACCCGGCCCTCGCCGTGCTGGGAGAGGCTTTCCTCGGGCCACAGCGCCGCAGCCGGGCCCCGCCCCGCCCCGCCCCCCAGCAGCAGCACCGCCAGCCGCTCGACGAGGGCAGCGCCGCAGTACGGGTACGATGCGAGGACGACGTCGGTGGGGCGATACTGGACAACCTGCGCCAGCCAGCGGCAGCGCGCCTCCGCGTGGTGTGGCCTCGCGCCGGCCGCCGGCGACGGCAGCGCCAGCGGCAGGTCGGGCTGCAGCGGGCCGGGCAGCGGAAGCACGGCGCCGTCGGCACGCACCATGCTGAAGTGCCTAGCGCCTTCGCCGCCGCCCTCCCCGGCCGCCGCCACGCTCTGCAGCAGCCACGGCGCCCTCCGCCGCAGCCGCCACCGCAGCAGCAGCAGGCCCCCGCCTCCGCAGGCAGCCGCAGCCAGCAGCGGCGCTCCCTCGGCGACCGAGGCGAGCCAGCGAAGCGCGGAAAGGGCGGCAGCGGCTCTCTCCGCTAGCTTTTCCAGCGCCTCGGACTCCGCAAGCCTCGCCACGCCCTCCCTCAGAGGGAGCAGCGCCTCGCCCAGACGTGCAGTCGCGCGTGACCACGCCACCGCAACCTCTTCCGCCGCCATGTCTGCAGCCCGCTCCAGGCGTGGACCGACGGCGCTGCGGGTGGCGTGCCAGCCGCGGCCAACGGCGCTGCACGTGGCGCCGTACCCGACGGCGGCAGCCACGGAGAGGTGCTCAGCCGCGATAACAGCCGCCGGCACAGCATATTCGCCCGTCACGACGGCCGCCTTTTTTGCTGCCGCAGCAGTCGTCGTCGCCGCGGCGGCGGCCGCCGCCGCGCCAGCAGAGACGGCTCTCGAGGTTGAGCGCGCCCAGTCGGGGTCGCTCATCGGAGCTCTGCCAAGAGCGCGTGTTGTGCACAAGAACAAGAACCAGCTTCGTTGTGAAGAAGTGGGCGCCCCAGCCAAGAGCCTGGTAGGTGAGGCCCACAGAGTGGGAGACTCCTATCACCGCCACTGCCACCCACGTGTCAGTCTGCCTGTGGTAGAAGAGACTGCCGGTGAGAAGTCGGAGGAAGGTCGCTAGTCGAGAGAGATCGCCAGTGGATAGGGAGTCCACCGTGCTGCGAGCCTGTCGCTGTCCCTTGTCAGGAGCAGGAGAACTAGGAGAGCGCAACCAGTAGGAGGCCCGCGCTTGCCCCCGTGCCGCCGGGTGCAACCTGTCCTATACGAGAGAGGAATCCCTGGGACCCTGTCGTGAGGGTGAACCCTGCCCAGCCCCCCTCCGTGTCGCGATGCGCTCCCCGCTCCCGTTCCCCTGTGTCCCTGATCGTCCTTACAAGATCCTGCTCGTGCAGGTGGGGACCCTGTCCTTCTCCCACCCCTCGTTTGGCGTGTACGTTGTATTTATTTATTTATTTAGTGCGGATCGTGTTAATGGTTCGATCCTCCCCAGAGTCGAACTGGCAGCCACTCGCACCGAGGAGGCGAGGTGTGGCTACGTGACCCGAAAAGGCCAGAGTCGGGAGCAACCCTCGAGCTGGGTCGCTCATATACTCAACACGCCCCCACGACGCAGCACGAGGTTGCTGCTGTATCTCCGATACCGCCGTGTTTCGAGGTAGGGCAGGCGTTCCGGGACGCGAGTTCCCCCGGGTTACCTTGGGCACTATTTTCGATCTTTTTCGTAGCTCACACACGAAGGGACTCAAATCTTCGCAGACCGCCGTCGACCTGGGAGATCTCACCGGAGGTACCATGTTAATGGTTCGATCCTCCCCAGAGTCGAACTGGCAGCCACTCGCACCGAGGAGGCGAGGTGTGGCTACGTGACCCGAAAAGGCCAGAGTCGGGAGCAACCCTCGAGCTGGGTCGCTCATATACTCAACAGATCGGCAAGGCGCAACGATCTTTTTGCCTTATTATATCATCCTTGGGTTGTGATCTAAGAACTTGAAAGCAACCACGCACCAGGGGGCGCACAGCAGCACGGATAGCCGTTGCTGTCTAGAGCCGACGCGGCGACGGCCGTGGCGCGTGGGGCTGCGCATGGGTGCCGCCGCGCCGTCAGGCGCCGCCGCGTGTGGCGCGGCGGCCGCGCTTCGCCTCCGGCTTCTCCTCCTTCTCGGCGCTGGGGCGGCCGCGCTTCGGCTTCTCCTTCGAGACGGGCGCCTGCGATCTCGAGCGATCTCGAGGCGTGAGATGTCATCTCGGCGTCAATCTCGGCGTCAATCTCGGGGTCAATCTGTGGCCGAGGGAGCCCGCTTGGCTGAGCCTCATCGGCATCGAGAGCTACTGTTGATGTCTTACGGTTGCTCCCCCCAAAAACTCCCAAGCGCCAAGGATTGCCGAGATCCGCGTCCTTTTTTCTTTTTTACATCAACGGTCTACCGCTGCCGCTTGAGGTGGAGCAAGCTGCTCTAGCCTCGCATGTCACTTCCTGTTGTCTGTTGTTTGTTGTGCCCTTCTTTGTTCTCTTGGCACCTTGCTACCCCCCGATCCAGCACCGAGGATCGTGTTTGAGACTCGGCGACTCGCATCTCGCAACGCGAGAGGAGTCGTCGAGGGGTGAAGCGCGCGTCGCGTCGCGCGGCTGCGACACTCGAGAGCCGGTGTAGCGCGCGGCAGGATGTGCTGGACTGTGGCCGTGGCGCGTGAGGCGCGGCCGACTTTGATGCCGCCTGCCTCGAGGGTCCGGTCTCCGGAGACCGGACTCCGAGTCCGACACGCGGGCGTCGCGGCGCGGCCGGGGGGGGGGGGCAAATTCCCGACACGCGGCTTTATGAGTAGCCCCAAACAATACGCGGCGGGGCCGGGGGGCGCGGGCTGTGTGTGTGTTGGTGTGGTTTCCAGCGTGTCCGAACCCCCCCACGACGGCGCGGCGCGCGCCGGCCGCGCGGCGCGCGCGCCGAACAAGCTCCCCACCTTATCAGGGAAACGTAGGAGCTCACGCAAAACGGACTCGCCGCTCACACGTGTGTGTACTCATACTCTCGAGTGACTCGTACATCAGCACTCTATACGCACGCCGTCGGTCTCCCACCTGCCGGCGCCGCTGCGGCTCAGGTCGAAGACGAAACGGACCTCATCCGCGATGTTCGCAGCGGCGGCGGTGTCAGCCGCCGCCGTCGCCTGCACGCGCACGGCCGCGGCGGCCGCGCTGCCCTCGCCGTCTTCGCACTGCACGACACAAACCGTCGAAGAGTGCAGCAGAACGCTGAAGCTCGGCGAGCCCTTGACGATGGCCTCAAAGTTGGCGGCGCCGCTCAGCCGCGCGCGATTGGCGGCCGAGTTGAGGGCGAAGGCGCTGGCGAAGTCGCCGTCGCTCAGCGCCTCGAGCTGGGCGTCGACGTGTGCCGACGGCGTCGCGGTGTCCGTGCCGCGCAGCTTGGCCGCGCCGCCGCCGTTCTCCACCGCAGCCGCCGCAACGCCGGAGGCCAGCGCCACGGGCTTGGTGGGCGACGCGGCGCCGTCGCGGTCGCAGAAGGCGTCGAGCTCCGAGAGGCTCACCCAATGCCTGCCGTGGTGGCCAAAGAGGCCTCGCAGCTCGGGGTGCGCCGCCTCCGCCACAATCTCCGCCGCCTCGACGCCGCACGACGAGCGGTTGAAGTACAGGTTGCCGTCGGCCACCGCCACGGCTCCGCTCCTCACCGCCGGCAGCGCGCGCCACTCGTCCGACTGCAGCAGTTGGAGCGAGGAGAGCTCGGCGCGCGTGCGCTCGAGGCTGAAGCCGCACGGTGCGAGGAGGATCAGGTCGGCGTCCGCCAGCATCGACGCGCGCTCGATGACCCTCGAGTGGCCTCCCTTGGTGCCGTGCACCATCGAGCAGCCGGCCGCCTGCACGCACTCGGCGATCCAGTAGCCGCTGCCCATCAGCGGCGCGAGCCACTCGAGGTGCGCCTAGCAGACATGTCCACGGCACGTCCGCGGCACATGTCCAAGACATGTCCGCAGGCGCGAGCCACGGAGGTGCGCCACGCGAGGCGCGGGCGCGCCGGCGGGCACGAGCGGCGCGATGGCACCGAGCCGCGCGCGCATGTGCGCCACCAGCCGCCGGCCGCGCTCAGGAGCACCGAGCGCGGCTGCGATGGTCACAACGTCGCCGAGCACGTCGTCGAGCGTGACCGGCATGATGGTGACGAGTGCCGTGGAGGGCAGAGCCACACAGGCCGCGTCAACGTCCTCCGGAGTGACGGCGCAGATGCGGCATTGCTCCTGCGAGAAGAGAAGGGAAGTGAAGAGAAGAGACGAGGCGAGAAGGGAAGAGAAGTGAAGAGAAGAGCTGCTCCTGCGTGATGATGACGTCCGGCCGGAGGCTGCGCACAAGCTCGGAGCGAATCTGGTAGATTGGGCCGCCAGCCGCCGCCTGCGCGCGGACCGCCTCGTCCAGCTGCAGCGACGGCGCGTTTGGGTCGACGCGCGGCGCGGTCACCACCGGCAGCGCCGTCGCGAGCGGAGGGTCGTCGCAGCCGTGCGAGCGGCCGACCTGTACATGGCAGAAGGCGTGAAGAGACGCTGTGAACAGCTTGCCCACGGGTGCAGCCGCGGGAGCGGCGGACCAGCAGGTGCGCGCAGCCGAGGCGGCAGACGATCTCGGTGGAGGCGGAGAGGAGAGAGAGGACGCGCTTGGAGGGAGCGGGCGCCGGCGGGCGGGCGCCGCGCTGCGGAGGGCCGAGGTCGAGCCGCATCTGAAGCTCGGCGCGCCGGTAGCCGCTCTTCTCGTAGAAGGCCGCGTTCTTGTCCGCGCAGTCGAGGATCACCTTGTAGCAGCCTGCTTCGCGCGCGAGCTCAGCGAGCCGTCCCAGCAGCGCGCGGCCGACCCCGCGCCCGCGCGCCTTTTCGTGCGTGACGACGTCCTCGACGTGGCCCACGCGTCCGCAGCCGCGGACAAGCTTGTGCTCCACGATGAGTGATGCGGTCCCGAGCAGCGCGCCGCTGTGTGCATCCTCGGCCACGACGATGGATTGCTCTCGCGCGGCCGCGCCCGCCAGCATCCGCTCCCAGTCGCCTCTCGTCGGCGGCCCGCACGGCCCGTCGAGCACGGTCAGCTGCGAGAGCAGCTCGCACATCGCGGCAAAGTCGCGCGGCTCCGCCGTGCGGAGGAGGAAGTCTTGCGTGGACGGCATGGAGGTGGCAGAGGGTGCGAGCAGCGGACCGGACCGGGCTGCGGCAGTGGCGTCGAAGGCGGCGTGCAGCGAGAATCGGCGAGACAACTGCGAAGAGAGAGAGCCCCCCTGGAAGAGGGGACCGGGATTCCAGAAATGGTTGTGTCCCCTCTCGCGTTGCTCGCTCGCCCGTGCGGAGGGCATGGCCGCGGAGGAGGCGAGTACGCGCTGCCAGGCCTTCCACAGACAGCCTCTTGGTTGGGCAGACTGAGGGTCGGCTTTGCGTGGCGTGGCCCGTGCGCTGCGCTGCACAAAGCTGCGTAAACTGCGGGAGCATCCTGTGCTTCCTTTGAGAAGTGCGCACCTCCTGCAGCTGGTGGAAGGCCGTGCCGCCGCTCGTCTGCTCCGTGGACAGGGCGGGGAGGCGGCACCGCAGCGCCGCAGCGTCCGCTGCACGCCGGTGCAGCCCTCTGCTGCCTGGTGGGCAGCATGCTGGTGCTGTGCGCGGTGTTTGCGAGGCGGCTTTGGCGCTGTACTGCCTGCCGAGGCGAGTGGCGCGCGGCACGCGCGGCGCCGCGCGTGGCCCGGACGGCGCCAGAGAGCGCGGTCGATGAGCCAGCCGGCGCGGCGCGAGCGCCGTGCAAGCTGGCACATCGTTCGCATGCTGCCGTCAATTCTCTGGTCGACGGCGGTCAATCTCACGATTGTCGATCAAAACCGGCGGGCTTTGTGACGCCGTTTACGCAATCGTTTTTTGGCTTCGCTTTCTCTTTTGCTTGTTTTTATTTTGTTTTTTCTTTTGCGAAGCGACGGAGGGGGGGGCGGGCGGGCGCTAACTATGGGCAACTACATGTCGAAGGTTCGAGGACGACTACTCGCCGCCTGGGTCGTTTGGGGCGCGCGGCTCCGTCGAGGACCGGGCGCGCCCCTTACCCGGCGCGGCGTAGGTCCCACTCTGACGTATAGAGGGGAGGCACGGACAACGGCCCAATTCATCAATTCCACTCATCTTCTGGTGCCTAGCCCCGTGCAACAGCGGTCCGGCAGGCTGCCCCCAAGGCCCCCCGGGCCGCTGCGGGTTTGGGAGTTATGCTTAGGCACAGCTTCGGCGATGGCAGCCCCTCTCTGGGGTGTTGCATAGGCGGGGAGTCTCCCCCGCTGGTCTCCTCCTTCCCATTTTTTCTTTTCTTTTGAGAGCAGGACGCCGGGTTTGTCTTGTATGTGCGTGTCGGGCCGGGGTGTGAGCGAGGGGCAGAAGGGGCGGGGGCGTGCGGGGCAGAGGCCCAACGTCGGGCGGCTTGTCGGGGTCCGGAGAATTCGAGGCGGGAACGAGGAGGGGGGAATGGGCGGTCGGCGATGGGGTATGATGCAACCGGGCGTACGGGGTAGTCGTCACTTTCCTGCCTCGAAAGGGCGGGGCTGTCCCGGAAAGTGAGAGACGCCGGGCAGCGTGGCGCATTACTGAACCCTCCCATACGTGTTGGGCTCCTCCTTCGCTGTCCCATCTCCTCATCTCTTTCCCACCTAGGCGGGGCGGGGGTCGGGGGGGCGGCGGGCGCGGGTGCGAGGTGCGGTGCGGTGCGTGCAATCGTGTGTTTGGCGTCATGTCGTGTGTGCCTTCGCTTGTTCCTAGTAACAACGAATCCACATGAGCCGATGGGTGAAAGGGAAGACCCGCCCGAGGTCTGAAGCTCACCCATTGAGGAAGTGAGGAACTGCTCGGCCCACCCTGATCCTGCTGAACAAGCTCCTCTTGTAGCTCGATCGGTCACACCGCCATCGCCGTCGGGGAGAGGGGGGACGACACTGCCTCGGCAGCGTGCACCTCGATCCTGTACCGTGTTTGTTATGACCCCCCCCAATGAGCACTCCAGCGAGGGAGGGCGAGACGATCGAGGGGTCCCGTACCACGCGGAATCGACCCTATCCAGTGCTCAAGTGCTCCCAGCCAACTGAGCCCAGGATTAGCCAAGCTGGCCCTAGAGCCAAAACACGTGATTCACCTCTAGAGCTCGCTCTCGCCTCCTCGGAGCCTCAGCCAAAATCTGTCGCTCCAGCGCCGTCGTCCGGGCCCACGACCGGCTCGCCATCTCGATTTCCACTCGCCCGATGCGCTCGGTCTCTGCTGCCGGCTGCCGCAAGAGCGGCTGGCTATCGACAGCGTCTTGCCGGTTGTCGGATGGGAGAGTACAGGACGTCTGGAGTGTAACTGTGTACGTGAGATCGGTCTTGGTAACAAGCACGGTCGGTCTATCAGAAGCGATGCACTCGTTTCCGTTGCCCTTCGAGCTTGACACAGAGCTCCGCGCCCCGCAAAACAGGAAGAGCCATCCGGCAAGAAGATCTCGATAGGGAGCGAGAACCGTTAGAGGTGCTCCGAGAGGTATCAAGACTCCGTCATGACGCGGTAAGATCACTCCAAAAATGACCGCGCAGATGTCGGATCTCGTTGAGATATCTTGCAAAATCTGCTCTTCCCGAGCCGGCAGCACGCAGAGAGTCGCAGAAAGGCTACGAGTGCTCGACGAGTTTTGAGACCTGCGCGGTCAAACCTGGGGGGAACTGACCGCACCAGGACGGACGTCCGAAACCTGCGTGAGCACCTTCGACGATTCTCGCTCCCTATCGAGCTCTTCTTGCCGTACGGCTCTTCCTGTGTGTGCCGGCACAGAGTTCCGTGCAAGCCGTCCAGCGTGACGTGACGAGTATATCGCTTCGACGGATCGACCGTGCTTGTTATCAAGACTGATATGACGTACACAGTGACACATCAGACGACACATATTCTCTCACCCGGCGGGCCGCAAAACGCTCTCGACAAGAGCCACACAAAGCCACCCGCACGGCAAGCCGCTCGTCGGACACGCGTGCTCGATCGATGTCGGAGAGCCAAGGACAAGCCCGGAGGGCAGCCACGCAGAGTGGCGCCACTTCTCGAGCGTCGGCTTGCGCCGGAGCGCCGCAGCCAACCGTGTAGCGTGCGAGTCGGACAGACCCCGCTAATCCGCCTCCAGGGTTGACTGGACAACGAAGTCTAGCTGAAAGAAAAAGCGCCGTCGGCGTTTCGCGAGTCGCTGTTCGAGAGCTCTACACCTTCCCTGAAGATTCTGGTGCGCCGGGGCCGCCGTGCGCCTTGCCCTCCACAGCGCGAATCCACCCCGCCCCCCCCGCGTGGCGCACGCCGTGCAAAAGCGTCGACCGCCGACGCAGTGCCCGCCCGCGCGGCGCATGCACCAAAAGCGCATCCTCCTTGCTGCAGGTGCATCGGGCTATGTTTTGGCCTACGACGGACGCGTGTCGCTTGTGGCTCCCTGCCCTCCTGCTGCTCTCCTGCCTCGGCTGCGCGTACGCGAAGTCGTCTCTCCCCGAGGTCGACTCGACTGGCTCGCGGCGCTTGCCCTGGGGCGCGTCAGCCGTCGGCGCGCTTCTGCTCTCTCAGTTGCTGCTGCGGCAGAAAAGGGACTAGAAGGGGGGCAAGGCCGGCTCCCAAGCCCACCTCGCGGAGCCCTCTTCGCTCGCCGGGGTGCCGCCCGCCACAACCCTGCCAAGGGCCCGAAGGGGAATGCGGCGAATTCCGGGTCGCCAGGCTCGGCTGCCGGAAGGGGGCCCCTAGCCGTGCCTTTGGCCCGCGGGCCCTGTTCTCTTGAAAGCCCCCTTCCGGGGGGG